TAAAAAAATTGGAGGGGAGGGGATGGAAAATTTTTCTTTTACTTTATTTTTTTTTAATTTAGTTATTTATTAGACAATGATATATATACCATGTAAAATTACACATTTCATTACACACTGACAGTCTCCATTACTTAATCCATTACGCACTTCCCTTGTAACTCTTCAAATGCACCCAACCCTCTTTCCTTTCTCCCTCTCGTTGTGCTGGCTGTGATTTTACAACCCATTAGACACATAAAATAAGTTTGTTTTTGGGATGATATAACAGAAAGTGGAGTGCATGTGAGTTGAGCCAATCGGTAGAAAAGAGAAAAGAAAACATGAAAAATTTTTGCAATTTTGGTACTACATACAGTTTTACCATTTTGTTTAATCTACAAAAGTTTACCATTAGATTGAGCTAAAATTTTATTTGGATGTTTAAAAGATATTGATCTATATTCTTAACGATTAGTTTTTCACTTGGAGTTTTGTAGGTTTTAATTTTGTATCCAAAATAGTAATTTTTTTTTAGTGTACCATTAATGTGTAATGGATTAAGTAACGAAAACTGTCAGTAAGTAACGGAGTATATAAAAAAGTAGGATATATGTAACATTTTCCTTATCTAAATGAGAAGAAAAAGGAGAAGGGAAATTTTTCTCTCTATTCCCTTTCCCTTCCTTTCTCTCCATTCCATTCCCCTCAACTAAAACATATGGTTAATTAACTCTAATGAAAATTACCTTTTTTTATACTAAACTCAAAACTTAAACTCTAGACTTAATTTATTATAAAACGGACACTTAATTATAAATAAATCCAACTCTTAATTTATCTTATTTCATGTCCTAAAGTAAATCACTAAATTGAGCTAAAACTTTCATACGCAAAGGGTGGAACCTACAACTTCTAAGATAAGGTGCCTTGGCCTTTTCCAATTAGCCAAAAATCTCATTGGCAGCTTAAAGGTATTTTACCCAATTTCTTTTATTTCTAAAAATGGCGAATATTCTTCACATCGTGCCGTCCGCTCGCTAAGTCCAATCCATTTCGAGCCATGGATTTTGATTGCCAACAAAAAGAAACCTCTACAGAGGTAGACGCAATTGGAACAAACGACAACAAAATCAACGTTCGTCTCCTGCGCAAACGGTGCCAACAGAATCGAGGAATAGAACCCAGAAAGCCATGTCTTCCCTCAGTTCATCTCTCCTTCAAGCTCCAACCTCTCTCTTCTCTTCGCCGCCGTGTTCTTCCACTCACAAATCATTCAATTTCCAATTCCCAAGTATTTGTAGTAGTCGAAGGAGAAGAAGCTTCGTCCTGAGATCAGCTGCTGATGACGTCTATGTCCTTGACCCACCACCACCACCTCCTCCTCCTCCGAGTGAAAATAGCAAGAGTGAAGTGATTGCTTCTTTGAAACTCAAGCTATTGGTCAGTTTGTTTGCTGTTTTTTGAGATACCATTTCTGGGTTTTTGTTGGATTTTGCTCTCGTTTTCCCAATTGTGTGATTCTGCCTATAGGTTTTTGAAGTGGGTCTTACATTCCTTATTGTAGTGCTTAATTATAGATTGCCTATTTTTGTGTTTGTTGCTTCTTGACAAATTTGATTGCATTTTACTTTCAAAATAACGCCTATGCATTTTTCAATGGGGTTATTGAAGGGTGCATGAATTCAGATTTGTGGGTGGATCAAAGGTTGTCGAAATGGTTCTTTTGTGATTCATTGGAAATGGTTCTTACGTTGTATCCAGTACAAAAGACATGGAATTTAACATCCTTGCCTCTGTTCTGTCAACATTGTCGAAACCATTGTATGTGTGGCAATAGAAGAATTGAAGCATAAATTTGGGAATGAATCCCTCCATTAGTACATTTTCATACCCAATGTTAAAATTCTTTCAAATGAATTAGGTACGAGCATCAAAAGATCTGAATTTAGCAGATGTTTATGGTGTGATAAGCAGGTATGTGCTTTAGGGCACGTAAATGTTGGGGTATGATGGTTGGAATTGTTGTGTTTTAACTTGGAAATATCTTGAGTACATTAACATTGAATAGAATGAAAGCTTGATTAGTGTGTCCTTGGGCTAATATCTGCATACAATGGCATGTGAAGTATTATAAATGAATTCCTCATCATCAAATACTGATATCTTCTTCAAACATGTGGCCTATTTTGATGCAGAGTGTTGTTTCTGGTCTGAATAGGGGTCTTGCTGCAGATGAAGATGATCTGCGAAGAGCAGATGCTGCTGCCAAGGAGCTTGAAGCTGCTGCAGGACTGGTAGACCTCTCTGTTAATATTGAAAAACTTCAAGGGAGATGGAAACTAATATATAGCAGTGCATTCTCATCCCGGACTCTAGGTGGGAGCCGACCTGGACCGCCCACTGGAAGGCTACTTCCCATAACTCTTGGCCAGGTTTGCTACCATTCTCATTTTATCATGGTGAACTCATTTGTGACCTACTGATAAACCGAGATCCTAAGCTGTATATGCAGGTATATTATGGTAATTAAGCCATTGAAATATGTGTTCCTCTGCGATGTATCAATACTGACCAAATTTACTTCGGTTATCTAATTTGAAGACTGGGATTTTCTTAAAAAGTGTATGAATGTGAATGTTAAGTGATTTGGTTGGTAAGGCTTCCAAAGTATCTCTCCTCATAATTTGTCACCAAATATCATGCCTTTGAGCTTTTACTACCTGTATTTCAGTTCCCATCTTTCTTGAGCAAAAAATTTGTTAAGAATATTATCTGCTTACACCCTATTGAACTTGTGTTTCTACTTAATCTGAAGACTGAAGTGGAGTTATATTACACCTTTTTTCAGGTCTTTCAACGAATTGATGTCTTGAGTAAAGATTTTGATAATATAGTTGACCTTGAATTGGGTGCTCCTTGGCCTCTGCCTCGAGTTGAAGTGACTGCCACGCTAGCCCACAAATTTGAACTCATAGGTTGGTATACACATCCATTCTTTTGGTTCTGATTTAGGGAATAATTCTCCTGATATATAGCTTCTCATTTCTTACAAGGATAGAATCTGCAAAGATCAAAATAACATTCGAGAAAACAACCGTGAAGACCAAGGGGAACTTATCACAACTTCCACCATTGGAGATACCCCGGATTCCAGATGCTCTGAGGCCTCCATCTAATACAGGGAGGGGTGAATTCGAAGTTACCTATGTTGATACTGATACCCGCATCACCAGAGGCGATAGAAGCGAGCTGAGGGTTTTCGTGATATCGTAACTCATAATTACAGGGATGTGCAATCTCTGTACCATCAACCCCTCAAATTCAAGCCAAGTCTTACATAATTTGCTGTCTCATATATAATGTTCTTGTTTTTGTTTTACCGTCCTTTTTTTTCATCTTTGTAAACGTATACACAACCCTGATGGAAAGACATTGCCAACAAATTGTACAAATGTATGTAGGTTAATTTTACTAACTGTTATTATATAATGTCAAATTATATCATAATTAAAAAACTTATTTGATAACCAATGACTTATTGGTTTAAATGAAAAGAGTTTGATATCTTTTGAAGTAAGATTTAGAGTTCAAATCTTATAAATTGATAAACAGACGTAAGAGGGAGAAACAAATTTTTTCAATTTTGTAATGGATTGGACTTTAAGTCTTCAAGCTGTGGTTGGGAGGCCCATTTATAATTAGGCCGAGCAGTGTCAAGCCAGCCCAGAAGTTTACAGGGGTACTTCCATTGCCAATCGCCAAAAAGAGCCGTTATAACCTAACGGCTATATTTCTGTGTTGAACTTCAAATCCCTTAAAAATTCTCTTTTCCTTCACTTCAAGATCTCATCCCTAGCTCTTCCCCTCTCTCCCTCTCTCTCTCTCTTTCCCTTCTCTGTTCAAATCTCATCAAGCTTTATAATTTCTTCAAAATCACTACGAAAAGCTTTCAAATTTACGTTCGAGATGGTTCTGACACCATCGTCCAAGCCTAACCCCACTCAGATGAGGACGCCGCAGTCCAAAAACCGGCTCAACTTTTCTGGAACGGCGGCAAGAAACCCTCATCCGTCACCCAATCCAAATTCTGCAGTCAAAGAAAACCCCCCGGCTGAGCACCCAGTTGAAGTTGTTGGCCGGATACGCAACTACCCAGATCAGAAAGAAAACCCCGTTTCTTTTTTGCACATCAATTCCGATGGAAATACCCTCCGTGTCCGCACAGATGTTGGGTACCGGGATTTTACTCTCGACGGTATTTCTTCCTCTGAGGAAGAAGATCTTGATGCGTTTTATAAGAAATTCGTGGAATCAAGAATCCATGGAGTGAAATTGGGGGATAAGTGTACCATTATGATGTATGGACCCACAGGTTCTGGGAAGAGTCACACTATGTTTGGGTGCTCAAAGCAGCCGGGAATCGTCTACAGGTCATTGAGAGACATTTTGGGCCACGGAGAGGAGGAGAATGAGGAAAACAGTGAGAGATCAGGGATTGGAACTTTTGTTCAGGTCACTGTTCTGGAGATTTATAATGAGGAGATTTATGATCTTTTAGCAAATAATGGTGGTGGATTCGGATTTGGGTGGCCTAAAGGGGGTAATGGATCTAAGGTAACTCTCTCTTTTACATTTCTCAGGTTTATTGATGACAGACTTTGAAATGAATGAACTTTTTGTGTGTATGTATGGTGTTGCTTAACAAGTTAGTTCTGAAACTTCTTTTATTAGTTATTGGGATTCTGTTTTTCTTTTAGGTTTGCTTTAGCTTGATTTGATTTGTGATACCTGTTATTCGATCCTCATTATAAAGAATGGATTTTTAGTTTGATTTTCATATAAATAGAGGAGGGAAATGGGAAAAATATAATATGGATTGTTCATGCCAATATGCATTGTCCAACTGTAATAACATATCTTATTAGTTTTTACTGGAAATGGGAATGGATTGGGACAACTAGGGCCAATCTAATATAGATTCATATTCTAGTTCCATCAATGCTATGAAGCTTTCATGATAATTTTTATTTGTTCAGGTTTAGTCAGTTGTTGCATTTGGATTATGTGATATGGTTACTTAGAACTATTTGCCAATTGCATGGTTGTCAAGAGGCTAGTTTTGTTGCAAAGAGTATCCTTATTGTTCTGGTTTTTGTCAATGGTAGCATTGAGATTATGCCATCTAATATGGTTACTTTAAACTATTTGCGGTCAATTGGGTAGATGACAAGAGGGAGGCTAGTTTTGTTACTAAGGCCTAAGATTATCAGTTCAAAATCTTACTAATTTTACTTTGGATTCGTAGGTTAAGCTTGAAGTAATGGGAAAGAAAGCAAAAAATGCAACCTTCATATCTGGGACTGAAGCTGGCAAAATATCAAAAGAGATTCAGAAAGTGGAGAAGCGAAGGATAGTGAAAAGCACACTTTGCAATGATAGAAGTTCCCGAAGTCACTGCATGGTATGACTGTTCTAGAGCTTGAATTTTATGGCATTCTAACCAAAATCTTGTTGCTAGTTACTAAAAAACCTCTTTTGAAATTTGAACAGATAATCCTTGATGTCCCAACAGTTGGAGGACGGCTGATGCTCGTTGACATGGCTGGTTCTGAAAATATTGACCAAGCTGGACAAGTTGGATTTGAGGCAAAAATGCAGGTGAGATTTGTGAAGGCTCTTATACTACTTCCTTGAATACTTTTTGTTGGTTTTCCTCCCTTATTCCTGCCAGTGGAGGATTTCTTAATTGTTTGTCTTCAAAACTGGAATTGCAGACAGCAAAGATAAACCAAGGTAATGGTGCGTTGAAAAGAGTAGTTGAATCCATTGCAAATGGAGATTCTCATGTCCCCTTCAGAGATAGTAAATTGACAATGTTGCTGCAGGTAACTTCCAATCGTGTCATTCATGGTGATTCATTCATGATGATTCATTCATGATGATTCATTCACAAAGTTAAGTTTTATGTATGTCTTACGAGGATGCATTTATTCTTTATTCAGGATTCTTTTGAGGATGATAAGTCCAAGATATTGATGATACTCTGTGCAAGTCCAGACCCTAAGGAGATACACAAGACACTTTGCACCCTTGAATATGGGGCAAAAGCAAAGTGCATTGTCCGTGGTCCTCATACACCAGTCAAGGACAAAAGTGCCACAGGTGATCCATCATCCGCTGTAATATTAGGTTCCCGGATAGCAGCAATGGACGACTTCATAAGTAAGCTACAGATGGAGAACAAGCTCAGAGAGAAAGAGCGCAATGAGGCACATAAACAGCTTATGAACAAAGAAGAAGAAGTTGCTGCTCTGAGGGCACTTTTAGAAGGGAAAGGATCCACAGCCAGTGAAGAGGAGATCAACTCAAAGGTAAATGAGCGTACTGAGATGCTAAAACTTGAGCTGGAGAGGAAACTGGATGAATGCAACAGAATGGCTGAAGAGTTTGTTGAAATGGAGAGGAGGAGAATGGAAGAGAGGATACTGCAACAGCAAGAGGAAGTTGAGATGCTGAGAAAGCGGCTACAGGAAATTGAATTACAGCTACACCATTCAAAGGATGAAAATGGAGAGAAAAATGAAGGACAGGACCTGGAAGGAAGCAGCTTTGCCAAAAGGCTCTTAGGAATCTATGCTGATGAAGATCCTGGGATGGTAAAATCAATGGACCTAGACATGGGAGATCAAGAACCATTTGTTCGTGATGTGAAACTTATTGATGGGACTATTAATCATTCTGAGATCAGAGTCATCCAAAGCTTTGCTCCCACATTTGTTGAAAAATCTTATTTGACCACTGTGTATGAAGAGGAAGAAGAGGAGGAGGGGGAGCACAAAGAGAAACCGGAAGATGAAGAAGTGGAGAAAGTAATAATAGAGGATAAGAGGGTGTGCTCGAGCACGAATGTTGAAGGTTACAGTCCTGGAATCAATGTCAATTCTGGGTATCTAGCAGCTTCTCCTCAGAAATTTGAACTGACACCAAAGCAGTTGGATCCTAGTTACGAAGGAAAGGATGGAGCCTTATCCAGACTAGAAAGAATCCAGAACATTTTTACGCTTTGTGGGAACCACAGGGAGCTCTCTCAACACATGAAGACTCCAGTGCCACCTGCAAAAGGATCAGAGGAAACCATTGATTCTCTTCTGTCCAAGTCTACAACAACCGCAGATGATTCTGTGCTGAAAAGTGTGAACAAGGAAAACATACCAATTCTATGTGCAGCAGATACTGAGCAAAGTACAGGTGGTGTAATGGTTGTAGCTTCGAAGGAGTTCCAGAACCCCCCTCTAACTCCATTAGAGAACAAGATGTCACTTGCCACTAGTCTCAGATTCTCAAAGCAAGGTGATGTTTTATCGCCTAATCTATCCCCACATCTCAGTTCCACCCCTTTTATCACCCTTAGAAGACGCTAAGGGGATTTCCTTTTTCACGTTTTTGTATAAGATTGTATTACTGGATTGAATTGTGCATTATGATGCATTTGCAAGGACGGATGTTGGTGGGGGCACTACCCGTCTGCCCTCACGAAGAAGTTTCTTTTGTCCTCATTAACTTTTTATGAAGTCATTCTCCCCAAGCAAATGCAGTACTTCTAACTATAGAAATTGGAAAGAAAGATATTAAATTAATAGAAAAACTAAGTTCCAATGTTCCGTTACCTATTTTCAAAAAAGAAAAAGAAAAAAAGAAAAAAAAGAAAAGCTAAGTACAATTGGTCTTGTGCAGAATGTATACTACAATAATCTTTTAAATTAAACAGATTTATTTTAGAGTTTTTGGAAGATGGTTGTATGAGGAGACATTTTCAATAGGTAAAACCCTCAATTTACACTTTATATATTTTTTATGGTCAATACACTTAAAAGTTTTTATATTTAATCAATACTTCATAATTTAAAATATGTAAAATACTCAAAATAACAATTAAATTCCTTATTTGCACTAAAAATTAATAGTCAAACTTCTTATTTGTGATAATTTAAAGTTTTTTTTTTAATTTCAAATTATAGAATGTGTTAATCAAAAATAAAAATTATTGAAGGTGTTGATTATAAAAAAAAAATAATGTATAAAGTATAAAGTATAAATAGAGAATTTAACTTTTTTGCTATTGAGTTGGTCATTCGATATTTTTTTTTATATTACGTATTTAAAATATAATTAAAATAATACAATTTAAATTATATAATATTTTCTTTATTTAAAAGTTCAATTATTTTGTTTGTTATTTAGAAATGTTTAGACCATTGTTCTTATTTTCATATATCAAAAATAAACCTTAATTTACATTTTAACTAAATAAGAATTTAATATTTTACGATTTAAATTACAAAATCCTTCATCAATAACAAGCAATTTGATTGGAGAACATGCTAATCAAAATTTGTAATCCAAATTGCAAAAATCGACTTTTAATGCTAATCATAATTTGATACATTTTGTACACATATCCATGTCAAATTTTTTACTAATATTTATTTGGCCGTGAATTTAATTCATAACATCTAAATTTAATCTTTATTAAATCTCAAATTTACTCATTAATTTCCGAGAATCATTGAATCCACTCTCTCCACCAACTCACCATTTCCAAAATCTGAAATTTCAGAGTAGGGTTTTCTCAATCTCCATGGCTTCGTCCTCAGCTCCAAACGATGTCTCCGTACACCAACTCGACAAAGAGGTTTTCCTTTTTTTTTTTTTGGCCATTTTTCTTCTCTGAAATTTTCTCAAGGGATTGGATTGGATTGGATTGAATTGAATTGGAATGCTTAATTAACTAATTTCCTTCAACTAGTTACCAGATTCTTTATTTTTGTATCGCTAATGCACGAATTTGTTCTTAGTTTTGGGTGTTTCTCATTGACATTTAGTGTCTAGTTTACAGAATTATGAAATTTAGTTTCTTTTTGTGCCATTTCTTGTGATATATGGTGTAAGCGGTTCGGTTTTTCCCCCCATTGTCGTTTCTGTTGCTGAGCTCTTGGTCCTTTTGCAGAAAAACATATACCTCAAGATCACGAAAACAGTGGCCTGCAAGGTTAAACTATCTGAAACGGTTAAAAATTTGAAAGAATTATTGCGAGAGAAGGGTGTTGCTTCCGAAGAAATACAGCATCTTTTCTTTGCTGGCAATCGGCTTGAGGACAGTGGAAGGCTGGTTGATCATGGTGTTCAGATGAACTCCACCCTTAATCTCATTGTCCAGGATTTTGTTGGGATCAAATTAATTGTTGAGATACCATCAGGTCAGAGAACCATTGTCGTCGAAGCAAGGGCTAATGATACTGTCCAAAATGTCAAATCCCTGATTGAAGTCAAGGAGGGACTCCATTCAGATCAATTCATGCTTGTCTTTAATGGAGAAATTTTGGACAAGGATAGGACCCTAACATCACTGGGTGTATATAATGAGGCAACCCTTCATCTGGTTTTCTGTCAAAAGGATATGGTGTCGATCCTTGTGAACGCAGATAACCTTACGGTGAAACTCCAAGTTAAAGTTATGTTCACCATTGGTGACGTCAAAGCAATTGCCGCAAGAATGTTAGGGGTCTCAGCTGGTGATTTGATGTATGCAGGAAAGAAACTTGAAGACTTGGACACCTTGGCAAGTTATAACATCAAAGATGAATCTGTCCTAGAGATGGTGCATTCTAAATTTCAGGTCTTTGTTAAAACCTGGGGTGGGAAAACCTTGATTCTTGATGTTTATGGATCCTCTACTGTCATTGATGTGAAGGAGATGATTTTTCAGAAGCTGAAGTTTCCTGTCTATCTTCAAAGTATTACTTATGCAGGAAAACGACTTGAAAACGAGAAGGATCTGAAAAGTTATAACATCCATAGGCACTGCACCCTTCAAATGGTCCTTGCACCCTCTTCGAGATTCCTTCATGTGACAGTATCTGCGCTCTTTCTATCTGTAACAGACTTAACAACCATTCGCACTTTGAAGAGGCTGCTCAACCTAAAGGGATATCCTGTGAAAGAAGTAATATTGAACAAGGTGGCGTTGTGTGATGAGTGTACTTTGGGTTATTATGGAATCAAGAAGAATTCCAAGGTGGTGTTGTGTCTTGAATATATCTCAGGCAATTTGGAGCAGAGGAAAACACAGGGTATTTAAGATGGTTTCTGTTCTTGACTTTCGTGGTGATTTCATTTGAGTATATATGATGAGTTTTGCTTTTGTAACAGAGCAGTATTTAGCTCAGACAGTGTAGAAAGGCCTCTAGGTCCAGTTGTTTCTATTTTTATTTTTATTTCATTTTTTTGGATGGGACACTTATTTTATGCAAGAGTAGATAATTTCACATTCTCCCTTGCTTTTGATCGTATATATGTAATTCTCCTCTTACGTTTTGCTATATTGTAAAAGCCCAACAGTCCACAATCTTGTCTGTAAGTAGGAATACTGAAGTTTCAAAACTTGTGTATTGTCATTTCAAAAGCCTTTTTTTAGCCATGGAATGTGCCAATGATCTCTACAAACCAAAATTGACGCAACAATGGAAGAAGGAATTGATTTGGACTACACACCTCGATGCAGCGGTGGGTATGCTTAAAAAACGTCAAACTTACAAATTCATGACTCTAGTCCCTTAAGCTCCCATCTCCCTTAGATGCCTAAATGTGCTTCTGAAAGTGAACTGTGTTGACTGCACGTCCTAAGATTCAAGTTCTAGGACATCAGGCAAAGAATTCTGGCCTTTTGATCTGGATGGTTTTGATGACCCACAGCCAGATGATCCCTTTGACGATCCACCACCAGATGATCCCTTTGATGACTTCTTCTGACGAGAGTGTTTTGGAGGCATGGAAGCATCATGCATGGGTGAGTCAACACTTAGGCTTGAACTGCCCTTTCTTCTGTTAAGATTGCTTGTTGGGTCACGGCTAGGGGAATCCATTGAAGTATTTGAAGAGCGGCGCCTGCTTTGCTTCTCAGGTTTTGGGGAACCAAAAGGTGAGCCAGAGCCAGTTGATGATTTGCGCCTTGATTTGTGCTTTGGTTTCTCACTGGCATTATGGTTTTGAGTTGCACCAGCAGCTGCAGTTATATATGTGACAAGCAAATTAAATCAGAATTAGAAATGCTTTTTTTCTATTTGACCATTACACCAGGAAAGAAAAAGAATGAATCCAACCTCCAGCTGAAGGCTCCTGGTTAGAATTAAACTCATTCATCTGCATAAGAAAAAGCATTACTAGTTTATTGTCAGCAATTAACTTAAAAAGCAACATCAATCAGCTTGATAACTTCTAATGCAAGGAAGGAAAACACAGACAACATACCCAACTTGGCGTATTGGCAGATGCACCATCATGTCCAATATGTGCGACATGCCTCACATCTGTGGGAAGCCCAATTTTCATTTCTGGTTCTTTTTCATCAAACTCTACAATATATCAAAGAAATTAGTTTCTTAGCAATCAAACAGTACTACTTAATTGAATATCATGTGACATATCACACATACCGAACATTTGTAGGAAGTATTTTAAACCTTTGAAAATACCCTTCATCTTGTTGACAATGGCTTCCTAATTCAGAGAGATGCAGGTGCCTGCAGCGAAAGCAAAACAAAAATGGGTAGTCTGATAACCTAACATTAACCATCACAATCTCTTCTTGAATGTGAAATTGATTAAGATATATGTACATACATACCACTTTGGAAAGTAAAACGAAAGAAGTTGATATCTTTCTTCTACTAATAACATGCAGTGCGGCAACTTCCAACAAACATGGCTAGAAAAATGATTATACCACTAAGAAACCATAATATGGAAATTGAGAAGCAAACGCATGCAGAAAAGGGTATGCTCTCTCGATTCTTGATTGATGCGTTAATGTCAACCAAGAAAGGAAGAGGGAGACTGCAAAGGGAAAATCTCGAATTTGAAATTACAGGGAAGCAGTATTTTTGTTGGTTCGGATTCGTGGGAAAATTGAAACCAGTAGCTGACCGAACTTTCAGGGGAGGATGTCAGGAGGTTGATTTTAACGATCATTTTAGAGAAAGCGCGGGAAAAGCGGTTAGGGCAATGGTGGGTAATGTTGGATAACTTTTTTTTTTTTTCTCTCTCTCTCTCTATTTTAATGAAGGGTTCTATTTGATTTATTTTTTAGAGCCACTAGTTTGAGACAGATTTTATGTAGTTTTTTGGAATCCCTTGCAGAATACATTTGAGGGGG